TTCTATTTAATTTATATTTTTAAATACACCGAAATTGAAATTTTAACCATACTTTATGTGCTTTTTTAATAGTTTGGTTATTCTAGCAGATTCTTAGAATCACATCAGCAGTTAGTTTCGTTTAGTTTTGGTAGATGGCGCTGCAGCAGTGAATGTATTTGAGTTTTGCCAGCGGCACTTCGCGAAGTGAGGTGGCGTAGTGTGTTAGCTGCATGACGCTTGATCGAGAAGTCGCGGTTCGAATCCCGAGCGGTGCAATTGATGATAGTTTTTTTAATTGTTTCAAAATATTTTTATATCTTATTAAATGAGTTTGGTATTTTATTTATATTTTTAAATACATCGAAATTGAAATTTCAGCCATACTAAATGGGCATTTTTATTTGTTGGGTTCAGGGTAGTATCTAGTTGAGTACTCTCGACTAGAGTTTTCTTACTTGTTTTACTTTACCTTGCTTTGTTCCGCTTCAGTTCGTTTTATTTTATTTTATTATACCCTGAACCCAATCAAAATGGGAAATCAGGGTATAATGGTTTTGTTAAAAGTATGTAACAGGCAGAAGGAGGCGTGGCAGACCCCACAAAGTATATATATTCTTGATCAGGGCGACGAGCTGAGTCGATTTGGCCCTGTCCGTCTGTCTGTCCGTCCGTTCGTATGTATGAACGCGTCGATTTCAGAAGATATAAGAGCTAGAGAAATTTTTTTTCCTAGGTCCGTGTATATCACGCGCATATCAAGTTTTTCTTTATATATCGATAACTACTCCCGATATTTTACCCTTTACCCTTTACTATTTCACTTCGGTATCACCGGATATATTCGCTTACAGTCGGCACAAAACGTTTTCTCTCTTCTCACTACGATAATAGTGCTGGATTTATGTGTGTCCATGGATTGGCCTGGAATGGGTTGTTGACTGGCACCCAATATGCCAGTTCAGGAAGGGGTTTAATAAATAAATAAATAATTTTTGGACGCTCCTGTGTCGATTAAAAGCCTAATAGTGCGCCCTGCTATCGTACGCTCTATGTACGGGAGCAGGGAGTTTCCCCATAAAAAATTGCAGCTTCCTGCTCCTGACAAGTCGTCCTCCAGTGCCTCTGCCTCACGTTGTGAATAGGACCCGTAGTCTTCAGTATTGTCTTGTTGGGGCAAATGATTAACGTTTTGTTGCGTTCTCATGGATTGGTCTGGAGTGTTTTTATAGCCTTGAGTGAGTTGCCTAAAACACGAGGAAGAATCAACTTCCATTGGTTCAGGTCTGCGGTTCTGTGCTTTTCGAGAGTTGAAGCGCTGCTTAGAACTGCTTGGCTTCTGTTGATTTGAATTTGTGTTTGTCTGAAAATGAGGGTTCTTCTTTTGATAAGAACCATCATTCTCTTGCTGACCACCTTGACGCCAGTTCTAGGTCTTTTGGCTATTTGGCTTTTGAGGCTTTTCCTCCGAGTATTTTGCAAAGTTAGCTGCAAAAATGCCTCTCTCATTACTCGATTCAGCTTCTTGAGCTAAAGCTAGAGCCGAAGGAAGTTCTTTGGGTTGTGCTGGCCCACCTCTGTGAATTTCTAAGTCCCGAAATGAAGGTGTGTAGGGCGTCATTCCTGAATTTGCTATTCAGGATAGCCGCTGTTAACTTAACTTTTTCTCGATCTCATCGTAGTATTTGAGCAACGATAGATCGCCTTGCCTAAGCTTGCTTAACTATTGCTGAATCACATGCACAGGCGTTTTGTCAGAGAATGTGAAGTCTAACCTGGCAATAATGGCCTTGAAGTTTAGCGTCTGCTGGTCCTCTGACTTTGTTGCGAATTATTGCAACTGCTTGATAAGTGGTTTTGTTGAAATGTATGTAACATGCAGAAGGAGGTGTGGCAGACCCCACAAAGTATATATATTCTTGATCAGGGCGACGAGCTGAATTGATTTGGCCCTGCCCGTCTGTCTGTCTGTCCGTCTGTCCGTCTGTCGGTCTGTCGGTCTGTCCGTATGCTTGAACGCGCCGATTTCCGAAGATATAAGAGCTAGAGACTTGAATTTTTTTTAAATGACCGTATACACAGCGCGGATGTCGAGTTTCAAATTCGATATATCATCCCGTTATGTTTTAATCGAATAAAAACATTCAAGTTCAAGTCAGATGCCAGCATAGCTAATTGTAAATGACTTCATTTTTTTTTAATTTGTCAAATATTTAATATAATATGTAGATCATATGCTGAAAGTTTCATTAAATTCCGTTAAGTTAAAAATTATTTAAAAATAATCAAATATTTGGCCATTTAACAAACGCACGTGCAGCAGCTACAACAGCATCGTATACGTGTGCACACATACATTCAAACTTCTTCTACAACATTCTTTGAATCACATCAGCTGTTAGTTTGGTTTAGTTTTGGTAGATGGCGCAGCAGCAGTGAATCTATTTGAGTTTAGAAAGCCCAGCTTCCAAAAGTGAGGTGGTGTAGTGAGTAGCGGCGTGACGCTCGATCGAGAAGTCGCGGGTTCGAAACCCGAGCGGTGCAATTGATGATAGTTTTTTTAATTGTTTCAAAATATTTTTATATTTTATTAAATGAGTTTTGAATTTCATTTATATTTTTAAATACATCGAAATTGAAATTTCAGACATACTAAATGGGCATTTTCATTTGTTGGGTTCAGGGTAGTATCTAGTCGAGCACTCTCGACTAGAGTTTTCTTACTTGTTTTGTATTAACTTTATTTTTTTATTATTTTTATTTGCGCGAGTTATGGTATCTAGTCTCTTCGATTAATGGACTTTTTTATTTAAAGTTGATTAGCTCTGTTTTTATTTAACTTGTCGGCTGATTGTCAAAAATAGATCTGCCTGCAAGGTCTGCTTTTGCACTTCTTGCCTCTGTCGTTTTGCTACCTGCGTCGCGGCTGGCAGAATTCTAAGAACTGTCTTCTTCTTGGTAGCTTCTCTATCTGTGTCGCCGCTGCAAAATAGTCGAGAGCTTGCCTATAAGGCCCTAGACGTAACTCGCGCAATACCGGCAAAGAAGAAGATTTAAAAAAAAAAATTGTTTCTTCAAAAACTTCTGTCTCATTGCTTATTATTTAATCATATTTTAATTTTACTTATTATTGTTATTATTTTTATTTTTATACACAGAACCCATTGAAAATTGGAAATCAGGGTATAATGGTTTTGTTGAAATGTATGTAACAGGCAGAAGGAGGCGTGACAGACCCCACAAATTTTGTATGTATATTCTTGATCAGGGCGACGAGCTGAGTTGATTTGGCCCTGTCCGCCTGTCCGTATGTTTGAACGCGTCGATTTCAGTATTGTTTCAAAATATTTATATATTTAATTAAATGAGTTTCTTTCTATTTAATTTATATTTTTAAATACATCGAAATTGAAATTTCAGACATACTAAATGGGCATTTTTATTTGTTGGGTTCAGGGTAGTATCTAGTCGACCACTCTCAACTAGAGTTTTCTTACTTGTTATACCCTGAACCCATTGAAAATTGGAAATGGTTTTTTGAAAAGTATGTAACAGGCAGAAGGAATCACCGCAGATCCTATAAAGTATATACATATATTCTTTCCGTCTGTCCGTCCATCCGTCCGTCCGTCCGTATGAGCAAGCCGATCTCAGAAGATATATGAGCTAGAGCTACTAGCTGAAATTTGGCATGCAGTACAAGTTTATCTTATTTTTTGGATAACTCATCCGATAACTTTTTTATCGAGAATAATCGAAAAATCGATTTTTTTCAGCCTAATTTGAACACTTTTAGACCTAGAGACTTCAGATTCACTGTGTATATACTTTAGATAAATATGAAGAGTTTACAGATTTTGGATACCACGACCCCTTCGCCCCCAATTCTTAAAACCGTATTTCAAGTACTAGAGACACATTTTAACATTTGTATGATCACGCTCTGAAAGTTTCATAATGAAACTCCTACCAAAAGATAAATTATTCAACTAATAAATTCTCATAATATTGCCCACACTGCAGCGTAGCCCAAGCGCAGTCAGCAGAGCGCATGATTACACGTGCGTGTGGATGAGTGTGTATTCATGCTTGCATAAAAGAAATTCAGAATGAGTAGAATATCAGCTTGGAGGGTTCAGGGTATCTCCCAGTCGATCAGTCTCGACTGGAGCCGTCTTACTTGTTGAAATTGTGATGCAAAACTGAAATAGATTCACTGATGCAGCGCCATCTAGCAAAACTAAACCAAACCAACTGCTGATGTGATTCTAAGAATGAACACGTATAGGAAAACTGTTGTAGCTGCTGCAGTGCGTTTGTTAATTGGCAAAACATTAACATTAACATTTTTTACGTCGATTGACTTAACGAAATTTAATGAAACTTTCAGCTTATGACTCTATTGAATACATATTCTACATATTCTATTATTGAATATTTGACAAATTTAAAAAAATGAAAAATCATTCACAATTAGCTATACTGGCATCTGACTTGAACCACTAACCATAGAACGCATAGACCGGACAAGTAGTGTAAATCATTTTGCACATTTTTTTTTTCGAGCGTTAGCACCCCAGACAACTTCGTATTTACTCAGCTCCTCACTTTTAGGTTTGGGCTACGAAAATATACGAAAGCACAATCATTTCGCTTCATGCGCTCAACCAAAATGGTCAACATTTCATTTTAAATGCCTCTATGCTCTATTTATATACCCTGAACCCATTGAAAATGGGAAATCAAGGTATAATGGTTTTGTTGCTAGCTACTAAATTCCTTATGGGATGTGACTGAGTATTCTGCAGTTGGTAACGCCCGAGTGTAACCTTCTTATTTATTTTGGCTTAGTTTATAGGGAAGACAAATGTGATCGACAACAATTTTCATTATAAATCCTCAATAACTGGTTTCGTTTCCATTAAAATAAAAAATGGCCAATATAAAATGTATTTTTATAACTATATTATGGTACCTTCATTGTTGTTTTAAATAATGGTGTTAAGCAATAATACAAATAATTAATGCTCTTGAACCGAGACTAAGGACTTTATTTTTTTTATGTATATTATATATATTTAAACATTAACTGCATTCTGCAGTGAACTTTTATCATCGACAATAATATTAGCAGCTGCTGTGGTTGTATTAGAGCTAAGCAACTGCTTGGTTGATGAGCTCGATGAGTAGCTGTCACTAGAGCTTCGCGTAGATGCTGAATTACCACTTATCGGGCTGTCCAACATATCTGTAAATTTATACTGTATTTTAGATATATGGGTAGACATGTTTTAATAGCTTACCAGGAAGTGAGCTTATATTATTGCTCTTTAAATCAACTCCAGTACTAGCAGGAGCTACAGATTTAGGGCCAACAATATTACCCGCGGAAGTAGATTTTTTTTTTAGATTTTGATTTATTTTCACCATTGCGTTGAAACCTATCCCAGTAGCATTAAGTATATTCATATCGCAATTACCATGATTCAAAGCAGCGCAGCTACAACACAAGGAATCACCGCTCTTTACTCGCTCTGAAGAATACAACGGACTAAGTATATTGCTTTGAATGTCATCAGGTGTATAGTAATCAGAATCCTCAGCACTCAAGTTGGTTGCCAATAGACCTGGATCTTTCAGTGGCCCATTAGCATCGGTACGATCGAACCCATGTACATTGTGCTTCGTCGAAATATCATCATCACCATCAATATTAACGCTGATTGCGGTATCATTAACAGGGTCGTTTGTTACCATATCCTCGTTATCACTATTGTCGAGACTATCCAATACTAGCTTCACCGACTTATTTGAACTATTCTTGCTATGTGTCTCTGACGATAATAATGGTGACAGCTTTTCGCTCTCACTATCTTCATCTTCATCCTGCATGGCAGCGTTACTCTTCTGGTAATTTAGACCATTGCGTTCGTTGATTATATGCACATCCTGTTTCTCAGAAGATGAACGAAGTGTCTTGGGAGAAGGGCAGGTAGTCGGAGATTTTTTTGAATTACTTTCTATTTCCATCACTGAAAGAATGGAGCTATCTCCAGTAGTGTTAGTAAGCGTACCCACTTCATTGGTGGTGGTGCACGTAGAAACATTCTTTTTGCTCTTTGGCCGGCGTTGGCTACCTGATTTAATAGGCGAACCGGATTTTATGTCTTCACTTGTCAACGTTGAAGCGGCCATCGAAATACTGTCCATAATATCGTGATCACTTTTTCTATAGAAATATTTAAAAATAAAAATGGATTAGTCGTAGCTTAAATATGTATTTGTATATACACATATCATACATTAAGATAGGAATAAAACGTTGAAAATGGAAATATACAGTGGTTTTGTTAGCTCGAACACAAAAGTGGACCACATAAAAAATATGTTTTTTTGAACCGGAACCGACCACTATTTTACTCCTAAATTTCACTATAGCAAGCGGCGATCGTTAATATTAACAAAGCTCTAGTATCCAAAATCTATGTATTCGTCACACACATCCACATGTCCTCCATATGAACTCAATTACGCCACTAACCAGACAACACATAGACCGGACACGCAAAACAAATTTTTATACTCATTAGTATATTGGTTTTGTCCGTCTTGCTGTCCGTCCGTCTGTACGTCTGAACGCAATCTATTTCGGCGTTACTGAAGCTAGAGACTTGAAATTTGGAACACATACTCGTGTATATCCGATTTATAAAGTGTTAAAATTTTCCTGATCCGCCCACTAGGGCGTGGCACTAGGCGTGGCAAATCGGAAAATGCATTTTCCAAAATACCAGAAATCAAGTTTGTTGAAGAGTGCTATATTTTAAGCACTATTGATGCTAGAGACCTGAAATTTTGTATATATACGCGGGTTGACCACCCACGTCCAACGAGCTATGGTAGATATATGTCCGCCCATGGGGGGCATGGCAAACCGCAAAAGTTTATATCTCCTACAGTTTAAGAGCTAGAAACTTTAAATTTGGATAGTTGAATTACTGGTAGCCTCCTCTATCGATGCCCCAAAAATAATTTTAACGCCTCTTTAGGGGCGTGGCATATCGAAAAATACCATGTAATTTTCACTTTTTTTGAGCGTAAGAATTCAAATTTGGCATATATGCGTCAGCTATCTATGTATGTATTTGTACATATAAATAGGCCTAATAAATATTCATAATACGGAAAGAAACATTTTTATGAAATTCAATATATATATAAAAGAAGCTAAAATAACATAAATTTGCCATTTACAAAAAGAGTTTTCCGTGGGATTTGAACTCGCACCCATGCCAAATAGCATGTTTGTCAAAATAACTAAAATAAAGATCGCCGGCACTTCTGCCTACAGCACCACCGCTTCGTTTCGAACAACAATAGTTAAAACGAAATCACATTATTGTTATGACGCCATATAACAAAGAAAAGCCAGTGTAGCTGGCTGGAAATTCAAAAACAATGCAAAGACAAATCAATCGCAACGAGATTCTTAGAATATGCTAGAGTACGCATTTATGTCTGGCTGGAATGCTTGATGCTATGCGTGCAGACTTACATACATATATACATATGTATATATTTGCGTATATGTATTTGAGGGCTATTTAAGAAGAAACAAATTTAAACTTATAAAATTAATCGACTAAGAAAGAGAAAAGTATTAATTGCCATTCATTCAAGCTCGCACCTTCCCAATAAAATATCTATTTTATAAAAAACGAAATATGTATGAAAAAAAAAAATATCATCGAAGAGGCTAAAATAGAATAACTTAATAGCAGAGCGTCATCCGAAAAAACTACAGTAACGACTAGAAAATCCAGAAATCAATCGAAATTCTAAGAATGTGCTAAAAGGCGCGCTTCTCTCGGTATGCATAGAATAGACCATGAGTGTGTGCACATGTATAGGAAAATCGCGCTGATCTGCTGCTAGCTTGAAGTCGGTATCCAAAATATGGATATAAATATATAATCAAAATCAAAATTGTATAAATGATATAGTATGTAATTTGAAAATCCTAGCTGCAATGATTCAATGATGATAGCAATAGCTATAGATGATTTTCCAATTTTAATGGGATCATGCCCTGTTTTTTGTTGCGCACTAGACTTGAAAATTGCACTATATACTCTGGTTGACAGTGTTTGGGCTGTGAATGAGTATTCTGCAATCGGTATCGCCCGACTGCAACGTTCTTACTTGTTTACAGCAAAAAATGTTAAGTTGGCGGACCACTACACTTTGTAATTGGTCGGGTCGGTCGCTGGAGGCTCGGGCAGTGCATTTCAAAAACAGTGCGCTGCTAACGTCCCGTTGGTCCCGTTGTAATATAAAGTACAGCTTTGCGCTATTTGTCCTACTCTCTCTCAATCTCTCTCTCGCTTTCTCAGGTCATCATTAATCTCATGAAATACGACAAACTTTTGGGTGAGGGGGTGGAAATAGGTGTGGGGAGTAAATTTTAACAAAATCCGAAATTGTATAAAATGCAAATTTTAAATGTATACATTTTAAATTTGGAAGCTCTAACTCATATATCTTCTGAGATCGACGCGTTCATACATACGGACAGACGGACAGACAGACGGACAGGGCCAAATCGACTCAGCTCGTCGCCCTGATCAAGAATATATATACTTTGTGGGGTCTGCCACGCCGCCTTCTGCCTGTTACATACTTTTAACAAAACCATTATACCCTGATTTCCCATTTTCAATGGGTTCAGGGTATAAAAGTTCTCGTGATACACTAAGCCTGATGTCAGAGTGGCCACGATAAGCGATGCGATGCTATAAGCGATAATTATCGCAGCGATCTGCAAAGCGATGACATGACAGAGTGAAAGCTATTCGCAAAGAGAGAAACATTGCGAGTATTCAAATTGTAGTCATTGCGAGTGTTCAAATTTTAGTCTCAGTCGCAATGTTTTCTGAAAAATAGCAACGGGATCCATCCAATGCTATCAATACTTTTGATTATTGACAGTTTAAGTATAATTGAGAGTAAATACATATATACAAATATAAATAGGTTTGAATCAAACTGTTATTAAAGCTTGAATTGCGAAAAAGAACATGCTTCACCGACTAAGCAACGGATATTTAAGCTCAGAACGCAACAAAAACACACGTATCAGAAAAGCATTTTCATGCGATAAATGCGATGCTATAAGTGATATTTATCGCAATGGTCTGCAAAGTGATGACATGACAGTGAAAGCTATCCGCAAAGAAAGAAACATTGCGAGTATTCAAATTGTAGTAATTGCGAGTGTTCAAATTGTAGTCTCAGTCGCAATGCTTTCATGAAAAATAGCAACTGGATCCATCCACTAAATGAAATCCGTGGAAACAAGTAAGAGAGCTCTAGTCGAGACTGCTCGACTACGAGATCCCCTGAACCCTTCGAGCAATAGTTATTTCAATCATTTTTCGCATCTTTCTGCTTACACAACACACACACACACATGCCAATTGGTGGCCCAAATACAGAGTGCCTGCAATAGCAGCATGTTACGCCGCAAGCAGTTCACGCGACAACAAGAGCCTACGTATTGTGTAAGAGGGAGGCGAGAAGAAGCTATCAACGTCTACATTTTTCGAAAAACAATTAACTTACCAGGCAGCTAGAAGACATTGAAGAAGGCCATTCGGGCAAGCAAAAGAGAATGCTTTCTAGAGTTGTGCGACTCAGCCGAATATGACCCTTGGGGCAGGGCATATAAGACAGTAGTTAAAAGACTATACGCAGGTAAACAGGTGCAGCCGACGGATCGTCTGGAGCTTAAATCGATTGTGGAAACGCTCTTTCCAGAAAGATTAAGCTCCATTCATGCCCCGGAGTCCGAGTCTGCTAATCAGGGCTCAATGAGCACTCAAATTGTTTTAGTTACAGACGAAGAAATCTTAGTAGCTCTCAGAGGTCTTAGAACCAACACAGCTCTAGGGCCGGACGGGATCCCAAATCGTGCGCTAAAGCCTCTTAGACACCATAGGAAAGGTGTTTGAGAAATTGATCTGCTCTAGACTGGAGACTGCTATTGCTAGCGCCGGGGGCCTATCACCAAATTAATTTGGATTCCGGAAGGCCCGGTCAACAACGGATGCTCTAGAAAAAGTTGTTGGCCTGGCAACTTCCGCCATCCAAGGCACCAGATGGAGGCACGGGACGAAGCAATACTGCATCATCGCGACCCTGGACGTTAAGAATGCCTTCAACACAGCTAGTTGGGATATGTTACTGAAAGCGCTGTCACAATATAATATCCCTAAATATCTAAAGGAGATAATAAAGAGCTACTTCAGAGGAAGAACACTGGTATACAACACGAGGGTCCTTAAACTCATACAGTGTCAGCTGGAGTACCCCAAGGCTCAGTCCTGGGGCCTCTCCTATGGAATATCATTATCGACGGCGTACTGCGCTTGGAACTACCAACAGGTGCGCACACCATTGGCTTTGCTGATGATGTGGCTGTCGTCGCCATAGGCAAGGAGCTTAAAGATACAAACAATATGTGCAGCGAAAGTATCAATCGCATACGAAGCGGGTTGACAGGAGCTGGGCTCGAGCTAGCGGCGCACAAGACGGAAATCGTCCTAGTAAGCAGTCGCAAAAAGTGGAGACTGTCAATATAAGGATAGGCAGCGTTACCATCGCGTCAAAGAGGGCGTCATGGCGTCATGTTAGACACAAGATTAACTTACCGCGAGCACTTAGAATATGTGCATAAAAAGGCAGCTGATTCTTGTAGAGCTCTCTCAAGAATTATTCTTAACACGCGGGGACCTAAACAGCAACGACGTGTTCTTCTAATGAGCGTCACTAGGTCTTTCATCCTCTATCCCGCGCCAATATGGTCAAGAGCGATGGCAACGCCGAGCTACAGCCGGGGCATTTGCGCGATCTACAGACTGAGCGCAATCAGAGTCAGCTGCGCTTTCAGGACTATCTCCGATGATGCGGCGCTTGTCATGGCATGTCATGGCATGGTGCCACTGGAGTACCTGGTCGCCGAAGCCGTGGAGCGGGATTCGCACGCGCCTGTGCGACACAGCGCTATCAGGGCGAACAGCATTGCACGATGGCAAAGAAAGTGGAATAGCTCAGCTAAAGGGCGGTGGACGCACAAGCTCATCCCGGAGCTCGAGCCATGGGTTAACCGCAAACACGGCGAGGTTAACTTCTACCTTTCGCAGATCCTCTCGGGCCATGGATGCTTTCGGA